TCGGAAAATATCATCCTTAGAGTTGTCTCTGATGGTAAATATAATGTCGTTTTATAGTTGCCTCTCGAGTGCAAAGGGTTAACATGGAAACGTACACTTTTGGTTCTAAAATAATTGGTTACTGGTCAGTAGCAATATTTGTTTCGCATACTAACATTGCACGCTCTCTGTTATGGCTTTACATGCAGCAATGCTCGGTTAGTGGACGCAGGCTTCGGTCCCAGTGGCGTCAGTTATCGAGAGAGGAAGGTGTTCCACGAACTGTCTCGTTTCATCTCTTTGCGGCTCGTTCGTAGCCGAGTGAATTTGGGACGAGAGTGAGACACATTAAGAGCGAATGAGATGGAATGAGATGCTACCTCAAATGACTATTTTATATCGTGGAATAAGAAATTGTGCCTACTCGCGCGATTAGGAAAGTTATTTGTATTATTTCGTGCTTCTACGGCGGTCAGTCGTGGAAGGAGGAAATAAATAGAGAGAAGGAAGGCAGAAAAGGGAAGGGAAAGAAAGATGTGTTTTGTTCTGGACCTCCTAGTGGACTCGTCAGTAAGACTACCTAGGAGGACGGTTAGATTCAGGTTAGAAGTTGTATATACCGGGTGTCCCGATTGTTTTTTATCAAACGTTGCCAGTATCTTCTATGGGTATAAGTGAGGAAAAAGTGTTATATAAACATAGGTCGTTTGAAGCTTTGTTAAAAAGTTATGACAATAATGCGAAATGATAAGAGAATGGTAATGGATGTGCGGTTATGATACAAAATAGGAATAGATCAGCGATATCTACTGTTATAATATTTCATATTTGACTAGTCAATGGTTCATTAACACAGAAACGCGTTTAAAAGCATTCAAAATAGAATATACAAGGTGTCCCAGTATTTCTTTTTATTGTCATAACTTTTCAATAAAGCCTCAAATGACCTATGTTTATATAACACTTTTTTCTCGCTTATACCCATAGAACATACTGACAAAGTTTGTTCGGAAACAATTTGGGACACCCTGTATATAATATTTAAGTGCTCGCCTCTGAATTAACGGATAACTTCTACACACGGCGCTCGCTAGTAAAATAGCCACTACTGTAATTGTACGTAAGTGGGTAGTGCATTCACGTCACCTGATGCTTACCCTCCAATTTTATGAAGATATAAAAGTATAAAAGCATTACAGTCATTTCTTTTCTTACATTCATCACGCGTACTTTCGCGTAGAGAGCTTGCGACGAGTTGGACACTTCAGTGGAAAGGGTTAAACGTCGATCGAAGCTTAGCTTTGTGGCGTGCAAGTTGTGTAGGTGGGTTTAGTAGACTGATTGAAATGGATCTATGTATAGCTAAGTGTAATTGAGTAATTGCAACGATGTCCAGGATACGCGTGATTTTTTGAAGAGTGATTGGAAAATAGTCAGCGTGGTTTTGTGAATAGATAAGAATGATGAATTGTAATTGTGAATACACGTTTGAAACAAGAATGAACGATGAACGGCGCAGGTACCTATCTTTCTGTTATCGGTAAGAAATTGATGGAAAGGAAATGTCAGAAAGCGAAAGGTGAAAGACTATGCCTATGTCGTATACCTCTCTCCTATCTTTCATTAGTTTTTAGTCATCCTGCCTCCTTTCCTTAACTGTAAACAAATCCGCATCATCCTAACGTTAGTCACCCCGAAACCTAGACCTCCACATCATCCTTTACTCATCGCTGAACCTAGACCTCACCGCCTCTCTCTACATTCACCTCTGAGACCAACCCCTACTCTCGTACTTACCGAACCTATATCTAGAAACCTTTTCCGTCGAAACAGCAGATTTTTGTCTAGTGGTCTTCACGCACCGAACGTCACCGAACTGTCTAACAAAGTCGAATAGTACTACGCGCAGAATAGCTCCCTTATTTCGCCCCAGTTTCCGTCAGGCTCTCCTACCGCGTACCTATTGAATATAATAAACCAACGCAAGGAATCGCGAGCCGCGGAATACAACACCTATCGAGAACTCTGCGCCTTTTATGGAAGAACGGTGGTTCGTTTTGTATAAGGTGACGTTAATATTGTTTTATTTCGAATGCTGTGTAATTTCTATTTGTGATACTTTTAATATTTTGCGATATTATTTGAATATTTGAACACATTTTATAGTTCATACTTGTATTATAGTTTTAGCAATAGGATAATTTTTATATTTTGAGATGTCAGCCAGGTGGACTGAGATCAGATACTCTCGGAAAACATTTAAACTGGGACATAACTGGGACAATTTTTTTCAAACACTCAATGGATAAATATAAAACGGATTAATTAAATTGTAACTTCGATTTCGAAATGTTTGTAATATGTCTTTCCACAAATATTCACAAGATGTTGACGAAACTTTGCAGGTCGACAGAGGATCGGTTCAATTTTAGGTGCAGACGCTCAATAATTATTCAGACGTTGTCAGAATCAAAAGAAAATCGATATAATGTCAAAAAAGTAGAATTTCTTTGCATTTTCTGTCTTAGTATTTGAACTTTAAATATCATTTTAATACAATCAGTGAAAGACGGTTTTCAATTTTTAACAAACGACAATATTAATCTAACTTTGATATGTAAATTGTTTCTTGCTAAAATCTCTTACTCGTCGTTTCAACTGCAAACCCAAAATCCACCATCGATGCAACGTTTCGCGAACAGTACGCAGAAATTAACTACTTCAAATGTGCACAACATTGTATTCCATATCGAATCAGCAGTACGATAAGCACCCAAGTGTCGAAACGCAATTTAAAGCCAAGCGTTCACAATGAGATAGCACGAATCCCGATAATGATGCCTCATTGTGGCCCCATTCAGTATTCGCCCTTCAATTTCCATGGATTTTAAGAATCGATAGAAGTAATTATGCAATAAGAAAATTGAAATACAAATATCCAGCAACCGCCGAATGATGGCAAATCGAATAAGTGTTACATTTCTTTAACATCGAAATTATCCTCCTTTTTCCAAACATACTAAGTTAACACTAAATAATTAAGAAATAGAGATCAAAGAAATCAAATCCTTCAATTTCGGTGGATTTCAAGAATCGATAGAAGCATCTGTACAATAAGAAAGTTAAAACATTTAAAAAGCGCCTAACTTGTGACAAATCAAATAATTGCATTAAATTATTCTCCTTTTCTTAGAATATTGAGTTAACAAACTTAATACGACAGAATAATTAAGAAACAGAAAGTTATTATTAAAGAAACTAAATTTTGGAATTCTTTCCAAAAAAGAACGTAATTATAATTTGATCCCATTTTGTATGACAAAATGTAAGGGAAAAAATCGAGCGTTGCAGTTACATTTCACGAAATATTAATGTGGATATCTCACGTATCGTTAAGTTTCATCACGAATAATTACAGCAAAGTCTCTTCTCACTGGATACGATCGCACGAATAAATCCTTTGCACGTAATAACGTGGCTCGTATTATCAGAGATATACGGAAAATCATGTCTAATGTGGATATCACCGGTTATGCTCGTGTCATGTCGATGCGTATACGCACGATCTGTTTAAAGGGAGACATAAATATAAATCAGCCAGCGGATTATGGCTGTCGGAATAATTTATCGCCGTTCCAGGGCTATTGGTCTTTGCTTTTGGCGCAGTTTTCACCGGACGACCGGTATGAGAACGTGTAACGTTCTGCTATGGGGCGACGATTCATTCTTTTCAACCCTTCGATAAAAAAACAAAAAAATAGAGAGCAGTTGTTTCGTATTGGAAAACTACTCCCTTTCGTGTAGATTGTAGCGAAATCGAGTGTTAGGTTTGGATATATAATACTTATTGATGACTATTCGTTATGTTTTAATTATATTCATTATAAGTATTGATTAGCACGTTAATTATTAATTATAGAATTTGAGCACGTTATTATTAAATATGGAATTTCTTATTTATTTTATTTTTTGGCGAGGGTGTTTATTCTGTAATATAGATTCTGTTTTTAATACATTTAAATACGTTAAGTTAGCGTCTTTTTTCTTGGTATGACTCAGCTGCTCCATGGCCTAATTTAAATTAATATAGAAAATGTGTTCTGAATTCCTTCGAAGACACTATGTTGTTTGCTTACGTAAAAAAAATTAAACAATCACGAAAAATAATTTAATAAACAAAGGGAACAGAGTGTAGAAACAACTTTTCTATAGTACAAGCAAAAATATAAGGTAGATAGGGTTTACTAATCACGGTTGATTGCCAGTTATTCTGACGTGGTATGGTTGCTAGAAGAGATACAGCCAGGTCGTACATCTTCACATTTGGCGAAAACATCGATTGATCTAGCCGCCTGCAGGAGCGTGCGCGTCTCGTAGGAGCCCTTGAAATCTCAAGTCGCACGCGCCGAGCGAAAGGCGTGAACCCTTAGACAGTCGATACTTGTAGCGGCCAAATGGCGCCGTGATTGGATCAGTATAGACCGGCAATCATGTTTTTATCACTATTTTAACGAGAGAACCGTGAAAGAGTTGACTTTGTACGGCCCTGAACGTGGCTCAAACTGATGCTTTGACGATAAGATTTCCTTACAAATATACTACCTGATACTTTCCAAAATTTCTGCACTTCAATCTATTAGGCATCCCATAAGTTCGTGCCGAAAGCGAAAAATATTTGATTGAAAATCCAAGAAAATTCTATGATAGTCTTACGAAAAAACAAAGATAAGAAAAAATTGTGGAACGAGAAGGCGCTTACTACTGTTTTGATCAAATTTAAAGGTTCGGTGCAAATATTGATCTAAATTATTAAATTCGACACGAACTTACGGGATGACCTAATAGCATTATTTCCCTCACAGATCGAAAAAACGTCCCCTGCGAAAGGAAAGCCTGAAACGCAGCTCATGATACTTCAGCTAACCGTGTCGTATCTCTCTTCTACTTTCAGTTGGTGTCGGCACTCATGCTCTAGTAAAAACGCGAGCGAACTGAGAGCGGAGCAGACAAGAGGCAGCACGATGTGGCGTATACTCGTCGCGGTTCTGCTGGTGGCCACGGTGTCTGTGGGCGGCGACAAAGTGGTCGTCCTACCTCACGATGTTTACCCAGGTTACGAGGTGACGCTGTTCAACACAAAACGGCCGTCGAATTTTCGTCTAATGGAGAACGATTTCTCGAAATTCTTCACGGTACTCGGGAACGGTCTAGTGATGACCACGTCTGATCTATCGCCGTTGGTCGACCGGCCGGTGAACCTAATCATCCTCGAGGAGCTAGCCAACAGCACCGAGACGCATTTCCTTCATCTCTACGTGATTAATCGTAGGAACATGATCACATTCTCTCACGACCAGCTAGGCGAGGGTGAGATCCTCGAGAATTCTGCGATGGGCACCTTGATCGACGGTTTCCCCGTTCTGAGAGCTAGAGGAAGCTTCCCGGTTCATTACGCGATTCTGCCGGACGAAATGGGCGACAGACCGTTCGCGCTGAAAGAGGAGGACTCGAATCAGATAGGGTTCAACTTGACGTTGAATAGCAAGAAGGAGGGCGTTAGAGTGGTGTCTGCAAAACCCTTGGACAGGGAGACCAAGAAGCTCTACACCGTCGTGATCCACGCTTCCGACGGTTATCTACTTAGCAGCTCGCAGATCAACGGTATAGTTCACGTGCTGGACGAGAACGACAACAGTCCTGTGTTTGAGAAAGAGCGATACACCTTCGACATCAGACCGACCAACGTGGACAGTATTAGCAAGAACTCTGTCGCGCTTCCTGGATGGAAACGTTTCTCCACGGTGGGCAAAGTGGTAGCTAAAGACGCCGATGGCGACAAAATTGCGTACAAATTGCTCACGCCGAGTAGCCTGCTGGTGATAGTGCCGCAGACTGGAGAGTTGATGCTGGCCGGTGAACCGGAAATTACCGTGGACGAAGACAGCGAGTGCGTGGTGATCGTGGAGGCTCACGACGTGCGTAGTCCGAGTCGATCGACCGAGAAACCGACCAAGGTTGTCGTTCGGTTTTTAAGGGCGAGCCCGATGGAGATGGAAGTGCACCGGATACAGAAGCGGAGGGTGACGAGGGCTGTTAGGCCGACTAAGAAGGTGGACTTCACGGAGGACGATGGCAAAGTCGAGAATAAGATCGTGTTCTATCTGGAGAAGGAGAACGAGAAGGAGATGTACAAGATCAGGGACGAGAATAAATGGGTCACTGTGGGCGAGAATGGCTCGGTCATAGTGAAGCAGAAATGGGATTACGAGGAGTTGGGTTCTGAAAAGACAATTGACTTTTGGGTGACCATTACGAACCCAGGTAAAGAACACAGAAGGTGTAATAGGATGTGATATTTACCGCGAATTTCTGATAAAGGATTGTCGAGAATTGTTTTTTTTTTTTCGTTTTGGTTTCGATTGTTTTTTTTTTCTGGTTCTGTATTTTTGTTGGAAAGTAGTATTTCGTGGAGGGTGACGATGTAATTGTTTTTTCATTGAAAATGTGACGGTCTCTTAAGATTGGTTTTTCGAACGACGAAAGAAGTAATCTTTCAAAGATATTTCAATCTATACCGTTTATTATGAAAATAGTGCACCTTCAATATTGGAAGAAATTAGGCGAACAAATAATTTGCTTGTAATTTAGCGTGAACTTTTTATTGATAGACAATTTATAGTTTACAGTTGAAAATATTCGATTGTTTCGATCAACTGAAAATGGTGTGAGTCTATTTATGGCCCAAAAAAGAAAATATTAGGTTAATTCTCATAAAAATCATTTGTATATTTAAATTCATACGAACGTGGGGAAATTTAGTAGACTTTATCAGTATTTCTGAATCGACTGAAATGCAACCCCTTAAATATCTCAACACGAAGAAAAATGGACTTAAACCACTCTCATAATAAACGGTCCATATGACGTGTATAATAGCACTATTTAAAAATGAAGAAGACAAAGAAGTAATAATAAGCTGTTACAGAAAGTAGGCTGAACATCAGCTGTTTCCCTTTGTAGGGAGTAAATTATCAATAACATCGCGTGTTACATTTACCAAATGCAAAATGCATATCTCCATCGAGAAGTTGACTAAAAAAATACATTATTTATTTATGTATTTTATTTATTTGATTGTTAATCAACGGGTTTAAGAACCCTTTAGTATACAGGCGTTGAAATTCACACAGAGCAGTAGTATAATGTACAGTACAAAATCAAAGAAGAGAAAAAGAAAGATAAATGAAACAAAGTAAAATAGAATAAAATGAGAAAACAGAAAAATAACAGAATAACACGCAGTACAAAGAGTAAGTTAAGGATTATTTACAGCGGTTAGAACAGAGTGCTTAAACGATAGATAAGAGATCCCGAAAAAATTAAGATTATTGCAAAATTTGTTCACGTTGGTGCATAGACGATTTAAGGAGTTGAAATAATTTTTTCAGGGTAATCTACGCTTTACCCTACCACTTAATCTCACCCTCTGCTAAAAACTACTTTCTCAATCGTTCGAAATTTCTTTTACAAACACCTTGTGTACCAGAGAGTCACATTCTCGTATTTTGTTAATGAATCTTTATTTTCTTCTTTGCCTCGTCGTCGAAGAACGGTGTTCACGGTACCCAACGCTTTTCCGGTGTCCACACTACGGTACAATTTTTCGTTTTTTCTTCCACACGACATTTTTAATCTCAAACGCACATGTACTATCCACGCCTTCACACGTTCTTCTGTTTACTCCTTCTGCAAATTTCGTCTGACACGGGGGATGGGAAGTCTGCGCTTCTTAGACATCGTACACGGCAAAAAGACGATCGTCGATCGATATCGCGAAAGTAGTGTGTACATACGTGATAAAACGGGGAAACACGGCAAGAAATATTAAAAGGTCACAGTCGGCGTGAACCTTTTTGTAGGCCGCTCGCACGTGGATACAATTTCCTTTCGGAACGGATAATTGTTCGAACGTGCAGTTCGAACGGCGGGGTCGGACGCTAATTACAGTTTCGCCGGGAAAAATGAGCGGGACGCGTGTTACGCATGAAGGGGCCGGAAGGAATTAAATTACGTCGTATTCCGGTGTGTTAACGTTATTTAGTAACGCAGCTTGCTCGCCGAAATTATTACGTTGTTGCAATTCCCGGTGAAACGCGTACCTGCGCCGTTTTCTTCTGTTTTAACCCTTGTACGGAGTTTGCGAAGTTGCGCGAATAGGTGAAGCCGAATTAAAGTTAAACATAGCCGAATTTTGGAAAAATTCCTTCGCCAGACGATTCTACGCGTCCTAAGGAATGGAAAATGTAAGTGGAAGTGACGCGAAAGTTACGAAAAATGGGGTTAAAGGTAAGAGTATAATCGTACTTGTAACTCACTTAGTTGCAACTTTTCCGTCTCGTTTTGGATTGATCGATGCGTGCCAATAATACTCAATATGAGTTTCGAAGCGATTCATTTACGAATAGACCATCATCTGAAGAAAATGAGACGGAAAAGTTGCAACTAAATGAGTTATATGACAATTAAAATGAAAAATGATAATTACATTTTTTTATTCCTTAAAATGCGTGGCATTATACTACGAAGGAATTTTTCGTTCCAGACGAATGTCAAATTGACCGATTATTATATATTTGTAACAAATGAGTATGAAAAAATAGAGCTCGGTTTATTTAATTAGTGTGAGTTCATACTGTAATGATATATTGAAATTATATGAAAATATATTGTTTTCGGGTTAGGCCACTTCGAGAATTTCAGGTGCACGCTATAATATAGAGATTTGTAATATCCAGAATTATTACGATCAATTCTTATGCGTTGATCTAAATGAAGGGTGTCTAAATTTTGAGCATTCCTCGTCTACTTCTGTTTTTATTACATAATCTTCTTCTTCGTTAGTCACATCGTCAAAAATATCTTCACCGTTATCTACAAATTTTGTTGTTTATAGAATTATAAGTATTAACTAGAAGTAAGAATAGAAAATGAAATTATATGTTCAAGCCGCTTCGAATGCAAAGAATAACGTGTTGCACAAGCTTTCAGAAGACTCGAACTGAACTCAAGATGGTTGCCTTACGGAGAACAAAAGAGCAAGTAGCGCTCGTGACAAAAGAATACGCAAAAATCAACAAAAGTCACTTACTACATACAGGGTGTCCCGTAACTCCTCGAACATCCGGAAATGGGGGGTTGCTGAGGTGACTCTGAACAACTTTTTTCTTTACCAAAATGTTGGTTGAAGCTTCGTTTTTGAATTATTAACGAAAAACACTGGCCAATCAGAGCGCGCGTAGAGTCCGCGCTCAGTGACGGGAGCGCAGCGACTCATCCGCGCGCGATCGTGAACAAACGAGTACGCGCGACTTCTCGGTTATCGGTTGCTGTCAGAAAAATGTGACTTTGCACCGCTATTTTTATAAGGCTTAGAGAAATGGTTTGTTGCCGTTATTCCGGTGCAAAGTCAAATTTCTGTGACAGAGACCGATAACCCAGAAGTCACGTGTACGCGTTTGTTCACGATCGCGCGCGGATGAGTCTCTGCGCTCCCGTGTCTGGACGAGGGCTTTACGCGCGCTCTGATTGGCCAGTGTTTTTCGTTAATAATTCAGAAACGAAGCTTCAACCAACATTTTGGTAAAGGAAAAAGTTGTTCAGAGTCACCCCAGCAACCCCCCATTTCCGGGTGTTCGAGGACACCCTGTATAGTGGATCAAATTGACCCATAAATTCCATAAGTGTGCATCAAAAATACAATTGGTTTTCCATTTTTTTTTTTTTTTTTTGTGAAGACTATCAATATTTAAGGCGACGAAAGAGTTTCAATCCAAACGATACATTTAATAACACAGAAAAAAGAATTTGTGACTCGTCCAATTTCCGTACAAGGGTTAATTTCATCGTGTCCACTTTTTTTTTAAGCTCGAAAGATACCTTAAATTCCGAGGTATTTCTTACCGTGAGTCCACGCGTTAAGAATCCATGCTTTTGTAACACTGTTATTAATCATGAATCTTTTCTTTCCCGCATTCTCGGCTTCCACAGGATATCTATGTAAGTAGCAACACACATCATCTTCATTTTCTTTTTGTCAACAATCATACTTTTTGTATATGTACATAATGCATAAAGGAAAATGTGACAGCTTTCGCAGCTGTACAGATTAGCTTATAGATTGCTCTGTATAGAATAGAGCAAAGTTTCTTGCGTTAGGACGCTTATAGAAATTAGAGCTTGCTATGCAAAGTGCCGCGTCTCTGGGTCGACAGTGTTTATAGACGATGACGGAAGAAGATGTAAGTTAATAAAGCGAATTCCTTTCAAGATGGAAGCTTTAGCGACAGAATGCCTGACGCTTAGAGAAATCGACCTGGAAAAGACTTTAACATCATTCGGGAGGAATTTTCTAAAATTCAGGTGTCCTTAAAATTAACACCTATTTGCAAAAACGCCAAGCGTAATGTTTCTCAGCGAGGAACATCTCCAAGCGACAATCATCGATTTTGACGAAACTCTGGTGTATGGTTAGTTCTCAGAAAAGTATTCCAGTCTACAGCGAAGGGGTGAAAATTGTCCTGAAAGTTGAAGGTAGTAAATATATTTAGTTAAATATCTCGAAAGCTATTAGAGACAGAGGAACAGTGTAAATTGACGAATTTTGTATTTTTCGACAAAAAATTCCTCCATCTCTAAGTTTGCCAACGATTCAACCATCCATATAATGTCGCCTTCTCTTAATTTTCACTTTGTTTCTAAGTACCTTGCGTTTATCGATTAAAGTGAAAATTTGTCAAATTTGTACGTTTCGATTTAAATTTGAATTGAAGAATAAGTATACCAGTTATTGTCGATTTCTATTATTTCTCATTGCAATCTCTAATAGTTATCGAGACAGACTAAATATATTAATTATCTCCAACGTTAAGGGCGATTTTCGCCCCTTCAACGTGGATGATTGCCGACACCAAAAAATCCGTGTCAAATATTGTCTGGAGTACTACCATACACCAAAGTTTCGTCCCAAAGGGACGTTCCCTTGTCAGATACAAAAAACTCGCAACATACTTCAACCCAAATATCACAAATGAACTCCAAATAATATCATACTACAAATAAAAAAAGGAGGTACACCGATCTCCAGAGAATCCGCTAAAATGCATCGCAATTTTATCAACAACTTCTGCATCGAATGCAGAATGATATCTCGACTAACTATTCAATCAATCGTACGTTTCCGGAACGCAGATTGATTTTACCATACTCGATTTAGAATATCTCGCCATATGTATAACGCACACACGTCCATACGTGTACAGGTACAATGCATAATCGAGAAGTTTGATTTGAAGGCTCGCATTGAATTTAACAGGCGGCCAGGTCAAAGCGTCAGGCAAGATAACGTCAAATGGTATTTGGTCACCGCCTTTGAACACTGTCCACCGTTTTCTGTCAACGATAGTCGGACCGGTCGCCAGGCCGTATCAATAATCGATCGACGATTACAGACACGGACAATCAGCGTGTCATTATCAACGTGAAGGACGTGAACGACGAGAACCCGTACTTCATAAATCGGCCTCTGCCAATGCAAACGGTCGTACAGCTGAATGCACCGCCGAATACTCATGTGTTTACCATTCAAGCGAGGGATCCTGACACTGACAACAATATTCACTACTTCATGGTACGCGATCGGAGTACGTATGAATTGGATATTACCTGTTATATATCTCGCGCGCGGCCTGTGGAAATGTGCTCGGGCCAGCGTTCCAAACTTGCATTCGTTTCGATTTCAACGTAATTAGCTAACGTATACAACGGTTCTTGTAATTGAGAATTACTACTTCGTTGCACGGTGGAATAATCGAGAAGCGAAGTTATAATGGATAATCGATGACGGCGGGCGGAGCTACTTAATCGCTATCGATGGGAATTCCGTGGGTCATGGGAAAATCGATGGGAGAACGTGTACCTATTGTTGTAACAGCGGATATCAACGTGGATAGAATAGAGGCCTAATTCGGAGGTCAAATTATCATTCTGTCTCCGAGTCGAGGGCAGGACCAAATTGTTAAACGAGATAAGTTAATATTGAACGAATTAAAAGAAGTTGCTACTTAGTAATCCATTTATCTATGATATAATGCTTTGGTATAAAGCTCTACGTAAATTTTATAATACAAGACGTGACAATTTAACGTGAAGATTGAAGACAAACTTCGCTGAAGTAGATTAGGGCCGGGGGTTGCCCATACGTGGTTTAGAGGATTTCTCTATAGTATGAATATTATTGTACGTTTTAATCCACTTACATTGGAATGGACAAATGCACCGTCAATTTTCAACAATTATTTCCGTTTATCGTGTAAATCGAGCATTGTTTGATTTTTCCTTTTCTGCTAATGGATCGAACGAGTTGAACTAGATACACTCTCGTTTGTGAGTATTGGGACACTTATTGAATGTGAAATAAGCCTAGAAGGTGAGAAGAAAATTATCAAGGTCTTGAAAGAAATAATTCGCTTAACTTTGCCGAAGAGATGTAATTTAAATCGTAAAATTGCTAATTGTCTCTTCCTGAAAAAGAAGAATCGTATACTTTCTGTACGAACACAACGCGAATTTCTGTGCTTTCGTGAAATTAGAATTTCTATGTTGCATGGATAAAATTATGTAGCGAATTGAAATTTATTTGGAGAAATATCATTTTTAATCTGGGCCTGGAGAGTGGAACAGAATTGCGTTTAAATTGGATAAATGAAGGGATGTGAAAACCTAGGAAGTGAACAATTTTATAATGCTATAATTTCGTACAACAGTTTGAAAGATAAACAGGAGATTTGAACACGCGCTGACGGTAACAATCAATTGAAAATAAAGTACCCTTTGCAAGAGCCGAAATTAGATTACACTCCTGTACGCGGTGTTTGATTGAACGTAAGAATTGCATTACTAAAAATTGCTGAACGTAAAACAAAGTGAACCCGAGGAACTCGTAAGTTTAATGCGATCGTTGCCGTAAACAGAGTAGAAATTATTTTCTTTCGCACAGATCGACAGTAGAGAGAGAAATGAAGCTTAGATCATATTGATGATATGATAGATGATATTTCGTATATCGTAAAATTGTAGTTTTTTAATAAATTAAACGTTTCTTTCGTTACATTATCTAAACTATCACAGTTATCCCCTTACTATTAGAATTAAATGTTCCGTTTCGTTCATTTCTGAAACAAATGCATCAACTCTTTCCTTCTACTATTGCCACTTAACCCTTTCGCGATTAAATTGTATATTTTTTAAATCTGTTCTTTGTCTACCGATCATCCGGTTTATAACCCTGTATTAAAGTGAGATCAATTTTTGTTCGAGTACTCAAGTGGGATATACGCGTCCCACGAATTTCACGATCAATCTTTGCCGAAGTTCGAGGAGAAAAAGTTTCCAAATTCAAAGTTCGTGAAACTTTTCACAATTCGTGTTCGACGAACATAACACTGTTCCCTGAACGAAAATCTGTTATATACACAAGCGCGTTAAAAGTTCAACGTTAAACCTGAAAAGTACGAAGTTCCATAAGATATACAGATTCGTAGAAAAGAAGGAAAGTCTCAACAATAATAATTACAACTCTCCGAATTGAAGAGAAAGAGAAAATGAGAAAAGAGTGAACACAAAATTGTTTCGTCGTGGTTCTTCAATGTTCTTTCGATTCAGATGTCCAAACGTTCAAGTGTTCTTTCGTTCAAATGTTCCAATATTCTTTCGTTCAAGTGTTCCAATGTTCAAATGTTCTTTCGTTCAAGTGTTCAAATGTCCTTTCGCGTTACCACGAGGGCTGTTTCCCGTGAAAATATCCACGGGATTCCCGCGCGAAACATTGAATCTCCTCTATCCGATGTCAGTCGTCGTAAAATTATCTGACTGAAAAATAAATGCTCGCACATTTCCCTTTTGTAGCTGGAGGCCGTTTCGAGGTAGACGAGCGATCTGGTGTTGTACGCACTCGGGGGACCGATCTCTTTCAGCTGGATATGGAATACGTTCTGTACGTGAAAGCGGAAGATCAGAATGGTCGTCTAGATGAGAGGCGTTTTCAGTCGACTCCTGAGGAACGGCTATCGATCCTAGGTGGAAAACGCCCGCCGCAGTTCTACATGCCGCAATACGTGGCCGAGATACCAGAAAACCAGAAGAAGGACTCCGAGTGAGTTGAATGTCTTTCAGATTTCATCGCGGTCAATGAACGTCTCAACGATGCTTCACAATTTCTCTAGCCTGTCTAATATCTTTGACGAATGGACGAATTTTCTTATGCATTAGGGCTCGTATTCACTTTTCTTCTCGATAGAGAATATTATTAGGTTGGTTTACAAGTTTGCGCGGTTTTCACGTTTCGCATTAAATGAAATTCGTATGTGACATGCGAGCCACTCAGAAGCGAAAACGACCAACTCCGTCAAATTTTCTTTATTCACAAAGAGCTGAACACCAAGCATGTGTTTTCATACTGAAATTGGAAAATCTCAAAAGGCGGAGTTAGTCACTTTGGCTTCTGAGTGGCTCGTATGTACGTCATTCAAAATTATTGTGAATTTTTTCTTTCTATGCTAATAATAACAAAATTATGGAGTGTCAGATTAAAAAAGAATTTAAGATCTCCGAGATATTTTATTCGATGAGTTTGATCGTGGTTCTAAAGCTAATAATCCGTGGAAAAGGTTATGTTGCTGATAGTACAGTATAAAAATGATTTTCACGATTCCAACAGAGAAACTTTGCCATAAATGACGAGAGCCACGTTCTGATCGATCGTCAGTTTGACGAGGAGCGTTTGGAAGCTCTGCTTTGTAACGACCCACGACAATCAACTCGCAGATTAGCTGAGATGATGCACCGCTCTCGTCAAACTGTGCTCCGCCATTTAAATACGATAATAAAAGTGCAAAAACTTGGTTCGCGAATTCCTCGTCATCTGAGCTACGAAGAAAAATCGCACGAACTTATGCGCCAACCTAATTTACAATTACAATTTACGATCACACTTGTATTAATTTTAGTCACTTCGTTGTGAACGATGTACGTACATACATACCGGGTGTCCAAATTTTTTCGGATCAAACTTCGTCAGTGTGTTCTACGGGCATAAGGAAGAAAGAAATGTTGTATAAGCATAGGTCGTTTGGAGCTTCGTTAAAAAGTTACAACAATAATACACGCATAAAGCAATTATTTAAGTTCGAAAACAATTCTGTGTGGAAAAACTTATGTTTCGAGGACGAGGATTGAGTTTTGAATTATTTCAGGTGTAACGCAGTTGTATTAAATTCCAAGGGGTTCTTTATAAATGTTTCGACATATCCTTCGCAACGGTTTTTACTTGGACGAACTTTTTTACATCACCAAAGTATTCATTTTGCAGAATGACGCTTCAACCTTGGTGTTGTAGAATTTCGCAAGCTGCCGCAGTGATTTTCCGACACTTTCGATTTTCTAAAAGAAATGTTCTATTTCAGTATCATATCAGTGAAAGCAAAGTCGTTCGCCGATCGTGAAATTCGGTACACGCTGAAGGCACAAGGACAAGGTGCAGCGGGGACCTTTAATATTGGACCATCTACCGGCATTGTGAAATTGGCTAAAGAGCTAGATTTCGAGGATCTACGTCAGCCACACATTTACTCCCTTCTAGTTACCGCTACTGAAGATTCCGGCGGTTTCTCTACATCCGTTGAGGTAAATTAACCTTCTAATTACTCTTACGACAACCTTATCCGCTGGACCACTTCTCGTTAGAACTGAATAAAAATGTTACGTTCGTTTGTTTCGTCTACAGCACTATATCGAGTATTGTGTAATTTATTCTAAATATGTATATAATATACAGGGCGAGCCAGCGAAGATCAGAACCTAACGTAGTATCGCTTTTCACAGTATAGAAAAGAAAGTGTTTGTTTAAAAGGAACAAATTCTAAGGTTATAGAAATTTTTGTAAATGGAACGATTGTAACTGATAGAAAAGCAAATTTGTCCACATACAGGGTGGGCCACGTGAAACTTGCTAATAATTATCTTCTTTAGAAAATTTTCTGATACGTAATTTAAATGGTTTCAAAAAATGATATTATTGTAGGGTGAGTCCGGGATGGAGAGAGGTTTGGGCGAGACACGAGACAGTTTATTTCTAACAAATAACTAATAGTTTATTCTTCACGGACACGAGTCCTATTCTCAGCCACGCTCCTTCAATGTACTTTTCTCACTCCAAGTTCGTTTTACACACACACTATTTTTCCTCACGCTATTCGTTTTTAAACCTTTCCTTGACGAGGGCATTTCTTTTTTCCGCCAATCAGGGCTGTTTTCGGACGTACCCCTACGACGTTCCCCTTCTATCGCGATTTAGGCGGAAAAACCGTTTCTCCCGGGAACGTCGCTTTCCGTCCTTTACTTCTGGTGACCAGATTTATGTCACGTCTTACCTACGGTCACATCGGCACCATAAACCTGGCCACCGTCCCGATCGGCGCGGCTGACGACCACGTGGGCCGCCCCAAACCCTAAATTTTGCCTACATTATAAAAGTATATATATTTTTCTACTGCACGTATGTTGTTGCAGATATTGATAAGACCTTAGACTCGTGAAGCTTTCTTTTATTTTCTACCATTTGTTCTATTAAAAAAAAATTTGTCGTCTGTTTTATTCACCATTTGAAACTATTTAAACTACGTATCAAAACTTTTTTTCAAACCATCATAGCTAAAGAAGATAATTAGCTGACCCATGGCCCATCTTGTGTAATATGTTGATCGTTAGACAATCTTTTGTAGAGTAATTCCTACGAAACTATAATTTAACGTATACACGTGATTAAATGTAAATAGACCATTCGAAGCAACCACTGTTGGCGTTTGAAGATTTTTGTAACCTAGTGTAGTCTCGTCTTCCAACGGAGCGATATAAATAAAGAAAATTAATTACAAATGTAGCGATACAGCGAGGAAGAAATATGTCTGAGTGTACAGATTATTGCAATTTCAAATGTTACCCAATCACCAGACGAGTGAACTCGCTTTCCCCAAATAACTCACTGATAAGTGAGCTTCGAATTTTGCCTGTGATTACGAAAGTGGCCTAAGTCATACATTTTCCCTTCGGGCGTATTAAAAGATAAGAATAAAATATTTCACAAAGTACTCTTTTCTACGAAAAGATCGACTTTCTACACTTTTCACTTAGATCGCTTTCATAATCACCGGCACAAATATCACGTTACTCTCGACCTTTTCTACAATAATAATCGACAAGATATCTTTGACGTTTCGTAGGAGTAACTGGACGAAACTCGGGAAGATGATTAATTGCTTCGACACAATGAAATTCTCATTCGTGTATCAGCTCGATCGGAATTTGTTTCGCTGAAATTGTCATGTGGTTTTACAGTTGACCATACGAGTCTCGGATGTGAACGACAACGCGCCGAAATTCGAGTTGCCCGATTACCAAGCCCACAATGTGGACGAGGACATATCGCTGGGCACAAGTATACTGAAAGTGAAAGCAACCGACGCGGATTCCGGTGTTAACGCGGAAATAGAGTATCTGGTGTCTGATGACCACTTCAGCGTCGACAATACCGGAATCATCGTTAACAATAAGCAGCTTGACGCGGATAACAACAATGCTTATTACGAATTCGTTGTCACTGCCAAAGACAAAGGTACATGTTCGTTTAACGCAGCCTTTAGAAGCTGTTTCCTTTGGGAGTAACGAAACGAAGAAACAGAACTGAATTTTCTGTGTAGTTGTGTTGTCCGTTTGAAGATAAATAGATTTCCGAATTAAAAGAAAGGACCCAAACGTCCCGGAGTAAGAGATCGATGGAAATTAGAAATTCTGACAAATTCGGTGAAGAAACTTGTCCAATTTATATTACATGACAGAGTAAGAGCAGAACTAAATTTTCTATTTATGTTATTCGTTTGAAGATAAATAGATTTCCGAATTAAAAGAAAGGACCCAAATGTCCCGAAGTAAGAAATTGATGGAAATTAGAAATTTTTACAAGTTCGATTAATTTTTCACTGAACAAATACTGAACTATCGTTATAGTAGGATTGCTCAAAACTGATTTCCATATGCTTCCAACGATTATTTCAAACGTACCTTTGAATCTCTCGTTCCACAACTTTTAATTACATAAATAATATAGAAAATTTCTTTGGTTTTACATTCAAATAGTTTTCAATATTATTCCTCATAAAGTCGATATTGTCAAATTTCTTGCCCGGTAAAAAATATTATAACGCACGAAGCAGATTGTGTGCTAAAATTTCCCAACCGAATTCGCGTAACTTTTTACACGTTTTCCGACATTATCACGGTGCAAATTCGCTTTGCTCCGATTTAAGAGCCCTAAAACTTTCGCTGCTGTTGCTCCTTCTAACTTTTCCAACTGAACACAGTACACACATCTGAATGAATAGTTTCATTTCTCTAAATACAATGTACCAGGTGTATAAATGAATTCTTTCCGACTTTTGCAAACAATGAAAGTTTGATCGAAAAAAAGAAGTAGGTAGACACAGATCACGCGTCGAAATAATTTCCATTACTGTCAATGACCTTTTGCCATTTTTCTGCCAGCTGGAGAATACCATCGCATGCAATCAATCACGCGAATCCAGTCGGAAAGAATTCATTTCTACACGAACTTATCGAACCTGCCTAATATTACACAACCGACAAAGTGTCACCTTTCGAAATCGATCCCCACATCTCTCCCTCCTAGGCACGCAATCAATCACGCGAATCCAGTCGGAAAGAATTCATTTCTACACGAACTTATCGAACCTAATATTACACAACCGACAAAGTGTCACCTTTCGAAATCGATCCCCACATCTCTCCCTCCTAATGACACCTAATTTTTCCAGGCGAACCACCGAAAACTGGCACAGCAACGGTGCGCATATACACGAAGAACAAGAACGACGAGGAGCCGAAGTTCTCGCAGCAGGTGTACACGCCGAACGTGGACGAAAATGCCGGACCGAATACGCTCGTAACGACTGTGGTCGCTTCTGACAAAGACGGCGACAACGTTCGGTTTCGATTCGTCGGTGGTAACACGACGTCGGGTCAGTTTGTGATCGAGGAGATCACCGGTGTGATTCGTCTTCACGGGAAACAGGTCACGATGGACAGAGACAAGTACGAGCTGAACGTGACCGCTCTCGACGACGGTGCCTGTTGTCCTAACGGAGCGACTACGACCCACACCAGCACAGCTGTTGTCGTGGTCTTCATCACGGACGTGAACGATAACAAGCCAATTTTTAAGGATTGCAGCATGTACAACCCGAAAGTCGAAGAAGGCGCGCCGAACGGTAGCACGGTGATCAAGGTACAGGCTACCGACGAAGACAAAGGCGTGAACGGCCAGGTGAAATATTCGATCGTTCAGCAACCGAATCAGAAGGGGACGAAATTCACCGTAGACGAAGAGACCGGCCAAGTTTTGACGAATAAGGTATATATCTTTGTGTTAATTGTTACATTACGATGCGTTTAGGGAAATGGATGTTGGTGAATTTTATTATTATTTCTAGTTAATCTATTAACCCTTTCGCTACGGCAGATTTTAACGCGTAACGTGGCTGACTGACATTAAGTTTTTAATCACGGCTGCAACATTTCTTATTTTCGCCGGATAGTTTTAAAATTCGGTTGGTTAAATTAAAGTGCAAGTGCGTAAGGATAAAGTTAAGTGTTAAATGAAGATGGAAGTGCAGCAAAGAGCTGCAACAGTGTAGAGCGAGAAAATTTTCAGAACGCCTATAGGCGCCGATAGTAACGAAAGGGTTAAGTGTAGAAAGTGTAGATATTCTGCCAGAAGAATGGCAAAAGAAACGATAATGAAAACTATTTCGATTCTTGATCTGTTTTCACTATTCTTAAAACACACTTTGATCGTTTCCAAAGTCGGAAAGAATTCGTTTCTACGCTTAATATTAAGCCTACGTAGGCAAACTGGATAGTCTGTGTCCAAGTCTAATTCTTTTACTATTTCAAGCGTTCAAAAAATCTGAAAAAATTCTGGAGTACTTATCGAAGTCTCTACTTTATTGTACAATTGTTCGTTAAGTCGAATGTCGAAAACATTTTCCATAAAAATGAGAAATACGAGTGTGAAATTTCACTTGGGTCATCGAAGACCCGGATTGCCTATGGAGAGTTAACCCTTTCGCGATCGAATTATTTTGTTTAGGAATTCGTTACTTATCCATTGGTCGTCGCGTTTGTATTGGATACTAAATTGAGATAAATTCTTGTTCGAGCACTCAAGTAGGACGTATGCGTCCCACTGGTTGCGAAAGGGTTAAAACTAATCTTTTAATTACGTGTAATTTTTCAGTTGTAAGGTGAAAAGGTGTTCACCGACGAGATCTTGTTTATCGTAATTTATGAGATAGATTCCTTAATTGTATATTTTCTCCACGATATCGATTTAACGTTTTAATTTGGTTTGCTTCGTACTTAACCCTACTGCGTTCTTCGTTTTGACTATACACTTAAGACTTTTGTATGTGTAATAATTTTCGTTTCCAACGCGACATATGAACCTAGACGATAAACATTTAAAATAATGTTAAGGAAGGTAAACTTGATAACAGCAAAAATGACTAAAAATATAAAAAGGCGTACACTTAAGACTTTTGTATGTGTAACAATTTTCCTTTCCAACGCGACATATGAACCTAGACGATAAACGTTTAAAATAATGTTAAGGAAGGTAAACTTGATAACAGCAAAAATGACTAAAAATATAAAAAGGCGGTGGGTCAAAAAAGACCCGAGGACCGCTGTAGGGTTAAGTATAATTTTAACATTTAGTTAATTCTGTACGATATTTTCTTCGGTGTCGATCCATTTTAAAAAGAAGAGAATCTACAATATATTTTGACGTTTTCAGGTGTTTGATCGTGAAGGGGACGACGGCAAATTTGTATCCGTCACTGTTAAAGCAACAGATCAAGGTGAACCTTCTTTGGAAGGTGTTTGTTCCTTCACTGTTGAAATTACGGACGTTAACGACAACCCACCATTGTTTGATCGTCAGGTGAGTGAAACTATAACGAATTGAAAGGAACAAGTTGTTTTATTTATATTGCCAAGTATAAAAACTGTAGTCAAGGTGATAGATTTAGGAAAGTTTCAATTAAAATTTTATATACGTTTTTTAAAAGAACAAATTTTCTTAACACGCTCCACAATTTGAAATATTAAACTGCAATTGCGTTTATAACACTTTTCCTAACTAATAATTCAACAATAGTTATACGAATATCGAGTCGATGGTCGAAAGTTTTGAGTTGGTGGCTCGAGTATGTAGTTCTTAAGAATGTCTCTTTCCTGGAAGTATACACGTCACGAGTAGCAAAAACAAAGTGTTTTGGGGAAATAAAAACATCCCCATGTTTGGGATAGGTCAGTGAAAGAGTGCGAAGCAAAGGATAAAATGATCGAAGTTACAAATATATGTACTAACGCGAGGCAAAAACCGTTTAAAGGAGAAATTTTCCTGCTTTCGAGAATATTCATTATAATACACCATCAGGATTTACAGTAAAATTACACAACGCTCGTTTTTTCCATAATTTTTCCATAATTTAAACCGATCGTTTGCAGCATTAATCCTGAGTGTTTGACTGAAAGATTGTGAATATCATTTATAGGAAAAAAGGCACAATATTTTCAGAATAAATTTACAGCGGCAAATTCATCGATATAAGTTTCCTTCGAGTAAAATTTTCCAAGCGAAAGATTACCGTAGAAAATGTCAAGATTTAATTTACTTGCAATTAGAATCTAATCGATCCGTATCGATTTCAATTAAGCCTCAAATATGCTTCGTTTCATTACCTATTTCGATGTTTACAAGAATGTGAATTTTTAACGTACGAAGTACAGAGATGATGCTAATCTTGTAGGAATGTTTCAATAGCAAAGCTATCTTTGACCTTTCGTTTCATTTGCATTCGTTCTGTGCTTCATTTGGCCAATTTTCTGATATTCATCGCGAAATATCAGCAGGCGTTCATTGCGAACAGAGAGACGGGATACGGCTGGGAAAAGCTGAAAGAGAAAATTGCCTTTCGCGTGGTTGTATTGTGCCATTTGATGCCCTTTGAAATTCAAGCGGTAACTATCGGGTATATACAAAGGGACACGTTCGAAAGAAATGCAAAAGATGCTTGACCGGGGAATTTTGCACTTTGTGATGGCCGAATAGCTGTTCAGAATAAATTAACAAACACTCGGTTGGAACAAACGAGGGAGGTCCTCTCCGTGGTTTGCATATTATTCGTTCGCCATATGTCAGCCACCTCTCCCTCCCCCTCTCGTTTGCGGAATTGCCATTTCTGATACTTTGTTACGCAAATGTTGTTCGATCGGGAAATTATTGTCTTTGCGAGCTTCGTGATGTTTGTCAATCGTAAAATACTTCCTGGTTAGAGAACACTGTAATCGTGTCCATTGTTTTTCCTTCTTATTCTTTTTCTCGTAATAATTACATTTCCGCCTGTTTACATCTAAAGTTTAAAAAAAAAGGTCATATTTTCGAATATTAAAATGGTCAAATAATTCTTTCCTTCGTTCTATCGTTACGAAAATTGTGCAAAGTGTCTCTTTACTTTATTTAAGTGCAAAGGAAGCTGCAAAGAGTAACGACACGCGACCAACACTTCTTTTTAAGTATAATCGTAAAATCTAAATTAAATATAAAGTGTAGATTAAAATAATTGTTTCATAATTATATTTCAATTGTACGATTATTTCACAATTTACAAAAATTCATCCCCAACTGTTCGCTCGATCTGCAAATAATTTCTCGTCGATTTTCAGCGATACGTAGAGAATGTAAAACAGGACGCCAGTATCGGAACAAACATTCTAAGAGTATCGGCATCAGACGAGGATGCCGATAATAACGGTGCCATAACGTACTCGTTGAATTCGCCAAACAATGACCACGAGTTGGAGTACTTTGAGATTCAACCAGAGTCTGGTTGGATCGTCTTAAAGAAGCCCCTAGACGTGAGTATTCTAATTGACGATCACTTATACATATATATACGACTCTCTTTAGCAGTAACAACAAATAATCGTTCTTTGGAGAACCACCGTGTGTCCTCGAGCAAGAAACTTCAGGTTCTTCCAGCTGCATCGATCAACGATCACCTTTCGTCGTGTGATTTTTATGCATCGAACATGTTTACACTTTTGTACGATACCGAGCGATTTATTTACAATGTACCCCCTGCGCAACGATAAGAGAAAGAAAATCGAGGCAGAAAATTCTCATTATCCACGAAGAACTGAGTAACAATGCCGAGAATGCACGTTGCGTTCTCCAATATTATTATGTCAAAATTTCCATACACACACACATATATCCACCTTAGACAGTGTTTATACGTGTGTATGTATATCCAAGGAATATATATATATATATATACACCTTCTGCCGATCTATATACATATATATATATACATATACATACATATACATAAATAAATATATATACATACATATATTTATATACGTATATATACTGTACGTTCACGTTCACTTAGTTCTTTACCATGAATCCGTTTTGTTGCTGATCGGATAATTTATATACTAATATACGTTTGGTCGGCAATTATTTCTCTAATTATCACTAATATGCAACGAAATGAGTTTCCTTTTTACGGCACATGTATAGAACTTTTTAATTCCCATTGATATGCACAATGTGTTCACTATGGTAAATACTTAGCTATGCCTGATTTCCTTCAAACGCTTCATGTACCTGAATCGATCGACCGTTCGGGCTATTTTTGCAACAGAACACTCTCTCTCTGTCTCTCTCATTCTTTCTATCGAGAACATGCTCGCGGCGCGAGTACCTTTTAAACAAGTTCCAAACGAGCTATCGAACACCTCTTGTCTCCAAGTTTTGTTCATCGCCGTTATCGGTCGCCGACGAACCGTCTATTCTGTTTTTTTTTTTTCTTTTTCGCCCCTTATTTACAATGTGTATTTTTATTTCCTCTCGATCACTTCCGTTCGATCTTTTTCTTTGTTTCTGTTGTTCCTTCAACGTTCGGTTTCACAAGGAAAAAAAAAAGACACGTTTCTCGCCGTTCTGATTTTCTGATTACTCAAAAAGAATTCACGTTGTTTCTTTGTTTTCCTTTTCTCTATCTTGGTTCTCATCTTTCTTCCTTTTTTTTTTTTTTTACCTTTTTCATTCGTGACTATTCATTCGCTGCGTTGCGTTTTCGACGGTGGAAACGAAGCGAGAAGAAAAACGAGAAAATAACAGATGAACAGAAATCGCGCGGCGCGAAAAAGTCGGCGAAAGCGACCCGTGGAAGAAACAAACGAGCCGTGTGCATTTTTCATTTTCTCTAACCCTAGCCAAGGAGAAAGACTGTCTGCGATGTGTTTTTTCCTGTCATAGTCTTTTTTTCTCTCTCTGTTTTTTGTACACGCGTCACAGAGCACCGCGGAGAAACGACACCCGGGAAGGAAACGAACGAATAACAGAGCAAAAGGAAGGGAAACGAACGAGACCTAACTAATTAACCTTTTAATTAATTCTCCTTAACTTAAAATACTAATGTGAATGTTTTTCAAAAGGGAAGTGATGTTTTTTGAACTTCCAGGAGCAGGTGGGAACGACATTTTTTGAGCCCCACGTACGGTGTACTTCAACCTCTACGCATTTTGTGGTGCATCAGACATAAACAATTTTTGAAAATGCTTGCAATATTTTATATGAATGTGTTTTTGATTCCTTTACAGGAACGGATCTCGCTCTCGCTCCTAAATCCTTCCTGTCTAAACTCTCTCTCGCTCTCTCTCTCCCCCCCCCCCCC